CATGTACTTTTGATGTAGGTCACGTGGGCCGCCCCTGGATGAAGACGTGGGTGGTTGGCGGGTGCTCTGGTGTGTTTTGCTCCTTCTTTCCTATCAAACACGTATCGTCTTTATCTCCCCTTCTTCTTTTTTATATTTATTTCTCTCTTGTAACACCTCTAAAATTCTGGCGCTCATATGACCTTATGCAGCTGCGAGCGCCGTAAAACCTCTACTAAAACTAAAACTGGATGAAGAAAATCAGGAAAAGGCAATAAAGGAAGTCTCTGGGACACTTGGATAGACATGGGGGCTTTGAACATTAGCCGTCGCAGGCAGAAGTGAAGGCGGTCAAGGCAATCAGAGCGATTGACCAGGACCGTCGAAACTGAAGGATGGCGGGGAAAGATCAGGGAAGCTTTTTTTTTCTTTTTGGGAGCGTAAAAGAACATAGTCCGAGGTATGTATCACGATCTTCATCAAGTGCCAGAACATAGTCCGAGGTATGTATCACGATCTTCATCAAGTGCCAGAACATAGTCCGAGGTATGTAACACGATCTTCATCAAGTACCAGATTTGCGCCAGACATCGGGGATCATAGTTTGCCATTCATGCGATGCTAGGATGCTCTCCAAAATAGTTTTGTTTTCGTAAAACCTCTACTAAACCAAACTATTTTGGGGAGCATCCTAGCATCGAATGAATGGCAAACTATGATCGCCGATGTCTGTCGCAAACCTGGCACACTTGATGATGATCGTGTTATACCTCGGACTATTAAATTCTTTCACGGTTTTTTTTCCTTCTTCTTTTCTTTTGTTGTGCACCTTACAGTGACATAAAGGATACCTCTGGTGCAGCAAACAGTTGGAGAGGTTCTTTGAAATTCCACTTGTGCAGCACTTGTGTGTGGTTTTTGTCTGTCCCGAGTGTGTGGATTGCTGTCGCGAGTGACGTAAACAAGAGGGGGGAAGAAGGGAGGAAAACCTCTCGTAAAGACCCACTCCAGTTCTGATGAAGCTGTTTGAGATGATGCCACTTTGGTGATAGGACTCCTTTTGATGATTGTCTTCATCTTTTGTTGGGTGGGGTTTTTTGTGGGTTTTCTTTTTTTTTTTGGGGGGGGGTGTCCTAAAAAGGGGTGGGGGTTGAAAGGGGATGGAACAGACACTTGCATCTTGTCTAACATGGGAAGGGTGTGGCTTGCTCTTTTTTTCGTATCAAACATCTGTCCTCCTTATCTGTCCTTCTTTTCTTTGAATGTTACTCTCTAGTAACACCTCTACGTAATCTTCGGCCCTTGTATGACTATTTGTAATGCAAGTGACGTAAAACTCTGACTAACATCTAGTAACACCGTCAAGTATTGGGCACATGTTTGACCTATTTCTTTGTGTAGCAAATGCGGAAAAACTGACAAAATGTTCCAAAGTAACGTGGAGTTTGGTTTTCTTCCCCAGGCATCATCTCCTACACCGAGTACCTGTTCCTGCTGTGTGTCCTCACCAGTGAGTCTTTGCTTACATCGTGTGTGTGTGTGTGTGTGTGTGTGTGTGTGTGTGTGTGTGTGTGTGTGTG